ACAGCTCTACGCCTCACTTAATGCGAGCGTTCATTACAGAGCGGCTTAAGTGAAATGATACGATTATGAAATCGATCATCGACTTATGTGCACAAGCTTCCCTCTATCAGGTGTACTGATGCACTCTTCGAAGAAGGTGTTCGTAATGAACAGTCCGTTGTTTGCCAAAACCGCAACAATTTTATGCCATTATTGTTGAGCTCGCTGGGGCCATAATTTCCATTTTTCAGTGTCTACTCTGACATAAAAATTGCCCATCAGAATGAGGGACTACGTAGTCGGCACTTCGTAGAGAACACTCTCCACTGACTCACGGAAGTACTCTTTTTCTCCCTTCAAATTTAGTGCGTAGACCTGGAAACACGGTCAGAGCTTGTATCCTCAGCCGTAAGATATACACTCTTCCGCTGACAGGCTTCCATTTAGTGCCTCTGTTAGCAAGGTCGTTCTGCTTGTGATCGACGCCTTTGTAGAATAGGTTCCATCCGCGTTTGTTCACAATGCCGAAGCCTTGGCGTTTCATTGACGAGAGTCTAACCATACCCGTTTGGTACTTTACGGCCTCATCAGTTACCTATGCCTTGATCTGTTTCCCTTTCATTGAGATGTTCTAATTTCCGACTGTGAGTTCGCACTGTCGGTGCTGTTGCTGTGGAATCGTATCTGATTTTCTACAATTGCACAAATAATTCTTTCCATTATAAACTCCTCTTACCTCATAACGACTGAAGCAGAAAACTTCCTTTCTTGAACACTTCGTGTTTTAATCCATTGGCACTGAATCTTTGTGAATGTCCAAATTCGACGATACATACGCAATAACAAACAAGTTTATTTATTTCATGATCGTTTCATGATATGTTTTCTGTTCTTGACTAGCTTTTGTTATGTAGAATTCGATTTGTATTGATTAACTGTTGTATCGATTTATTTTGCCGGTTGATTAATTTGTTGTGCTCGTGATAACTTTAATGCCATTTTGACAATCCTATTTGTACATTAATGTTTTAGACACGTGTCCGTCAGTTGATGACTCAACGTGGAATAGTATTGTATGTAATGAAAATCAGGTGATGTGCTACAACGTTACCTCTACGTCTGCGTTTCCTCTCGTACTTCCGCGCAATGCTGCCAGAACTGTTGCGAGCACGAGCAGTGTGGTTGCTTTACCAAAGAATCGGAATACGAAATTGATTTTAGACGGTAGCCAGAATGATCGGACTGCATTTTATTCTCATTCGCGTCAAAATGGTCATTTGATTGACGGCAGCGAATCTTACTGTGAAATGGCGGATTCTGCCGCCTGGCCTTCTTTTTCATCGTTTTGGTGGCTAAATGCTTTGAAAAGTAAGGTGTTCGGTGCCGTGTTTTGTTCATGGAATACAAACAGTTCGATAAGTTGGCACGATTCGGATGAAGAAAGCCATGAGAGCAAGGACAGTAAAGACAGTTACGGTGTGAGCGGTGCGGTTGAATGCCGCCAGCTAGTCAAACGGTTGAATTCAGTGTCCGCTGTTGCTGCCGGTTCCTTGGCAAATTCAAACTTATCCGGTGGCTCATCGAGCGTCGTCAATTTCAGAAAGTCGAAACGAAAGGGTGCACCGACGGCACTGTCCGCAGCGGGTAGCAATATTGCAGCTTGTTGTCAGAATGGATCGATCACCTGTGCGAGCGGTTTCGGTACGTTGCCTTTGCAGCATCAGTCGTCCTCCAGCAAGGACCAAACCGGCAGTTCTGCGGAACCGAAGGACAAGACGCAGGAACGCGACGCGCATTCCAGGTTCGTTCGTGCGCGTATTATATTATCGACACTGAGAACGTGCTTTTTTTAAAAATATCTCTAACAGTTGTCATGATATTTGAATATTGTTCTACCTCAGCTTGGAGTTTGAAATGGAAAAGCTGAAAGCAGAACTACGGATTAGTAAGTCCAGGGAACAGGAATTACGATTGCAACTGCAACAGTTAACTAACGCCGAGAAGTCTCTCAGAAGCGAGTTGAATCAGCTGAAGCAAACGAACGACCAGCTGCAAACACGGTAAGCGGCTGGCTGCCGTTAGCCATCGCTCGTTCTCGCATGTCGTGATTTATATTTTAGTGTACAAAACCTTGTGAAAGTGCGACAGGTAGATAAGCAGAATATTGCCAATATGGAGAAGAAACTCGCCGAAGAGCAGAAAGCCAAACAAGCGGTGGATCAACAGCTACAACAAGAAAGAAAAGCCAGGAAAGTAGATGAAGCGAACGCGAATCGACAACTTTTATCATCTTCAAAGTATCCTGCTTTTGTTTTCTCGTCTTGTGTTGCTCGAACGTTGATTGCGCATCAGTCGTCACCTTAGTGTTATCGGTGGGCCGGCAAAAGTAACCTTCGTTTTAAACTGCAGGCGTCAATTATTAATATAGTTCTGTGAGGCCATATAAACGAGCTA